GGCATTTTTTTTTTTTTTAAAACTCTCTACAAATTTTTTTTTTTTTTTTTTTTTTTTTTGTCTTTTGTCTTTTTCCGTGTCCGGCAACGGATCGCAACCCTCAGTGTTGCCCCCGTACCGGACCGGGGACAGGCAACGGGATTGCAACCCTCGGCGTTGCTCCCGCGCCTCGCTCAGCCAGTGAGCGGGAACCGGTCTGTATGTGGGATCCGAATCCTCGGGCGGGAGCGCCGCCGTGCTTCCCAAGTGGCGCACTATCCAGTGTGCCACCGGGCCGGCCCTCTGCAAATGTTTTAAATTCATAGTTTGTACATTGATTTTTAATCCTAATAGTCTTTAGCTTTATATTAAAAAAAAAGTTTAGATACATTTCCCCAAATTTAGCAGGTGAACACCCCAGGCCAATGACCTCAGAGTAACCAAATGCAAGCCCTGCTGAGGAGCTGACAGGCAGTTTAGAGGGGCCACTAGCCAGCAGGGAGGGGTACAACTGGGTGTCTGAACACCAGCAGGAGCCTCAGCAGGAGCCAGCAAAAGATCTCTAACCCCATCCTGGCCATGACTGCCCACTAGCTACAGCTCCCAACACAGTGGGGCTTTATCTGTGACTACCAAAAAGTGTGGAAAGAACCCAGGTAAGCCCAGACACATTGGCCACCTCCCAGCAACCTGGAGAGGACCACCCAGTCAACTGGCTGCCCAGAAGGGGTTAAAGGAGGCCAGGATCACCCTGATTTCTCCAGGGGGCCATGTCTCATCTTCTAGCTCTGTACTTGTTTAGGGGTTCGTCTCTCCATGGCCCAGCTGGGAGGTTACAAAAGATTATTTCCACCTACGACACATAGACTTCCGGACCACACATAAACTAGCAGGTAGAGATCTCAAATAATAACACCATGGCTGGCTGGTTAGCTCACTCGGGAGAGCATGATGCTGATAATACCAAGGTCAAGGGTTCAGATCCCTGTACCAGCCAGCTGCCAAAAAAATTAATAAAAAATAAAATAATAATAATACCAAATACTTAAGTGGCACTTATTACGCATCAGGCACTATTCTAAATCCTTCACATTCATTGACTCAGTTTAGTTTCCACAACAATCCCATGAAGTACCCTAATTTTAAAGACAAGGAAACTGAGGCACAGGAAGTTAAGTGACTTGCCCAAAGTTACACTGGAAGCAAGTGGTAGATCTGAGAGTCAGACCCAGGTAGTCTGGCTACAGAGTCCTGGCTTTTAGCCACCATGCTACCCTACCTTGGAATTTTCATGATAAATTATATTAAACACAGAAATCAACTATGAATGTAAAAAGGCATAGAAATGATTTTAAGATTTGTACAATCTTTCATGGAGATAAATCTTGAATGGGATCTGCTTATAGTTTCTGAACCTATGGTCAGTTCTCAACTGTACACTATTCTCTTTATCAATGGACTTATTATGTGCCATATCTAAGAATGAGATTAACTGTAATTATGATCAAATATATAAATAGATAAATGCATGTTAATAATAGCTTAAGATATGTTAGAACATTATATACTATGTTAGGCACAATTAATATTTTTCTAACAGCTTTACTGAGGTAGAGTTTACATACTATAAAATTCACACATTTTAAGTGTAAAATTCAATGATTTTTAGAAAACAGAGTTATACCAGCCAGCTGCCAAAAAAAAAAAAAAAAGAAAAGAAAACACACAGAGTTGTGCAATAATCACAATCCAGTTTTAGAACATTTCCATCATAGTCTCAGTTAATTTTAAAGAGAAGTCTCTTGTCATTTGTGAGCTCCTTCTAGGTTGGCAGTTTTAAAATTTTTAAATTGAAAGAAACTCAACACATACTTAGATCCTAAAAGTTAAAAAGATCAGAAAATGAAAATTCAGTAACGTACACTATCCAATTAGAATATACTGAAGTCGGGCCGGCCTGGTGGCGCACTGGAGAGAGCGCCGTTTGGGAGCGCGATGGTGCTCCCACCGAGGGTTCAGATCCCATGTGGAGACCGGTTCCCGCTCACTGGCTGAGCGCGGTGCGGGCGCAACACCGAGGGTTGCGATCCCGTTGCCGGTCCCCGGTACGGGCGCAACACCGAGGGTTGCAATCCCGTTACCGGTCAGTAAAAAAGACAAAAAGGAAAAAAAAAAAAAGAATATACTGAAGTCAAGTGAAATATGAATACCACATCTATTTTCTTATGGTAATAGATTCACTTCCTACAGAATACTTATAAGAAAAGGGAATTCTATGTCCCCTCAACAGAAAATGACACAGAACTCAAATAATGAAACCGTTCAACAGAAAAATCACAAATGTTTAGGGCTGGCCATGGCTCACTTGGGAGAGTGTGGTGCTGATGACACCAAGGCCACGGGTTTGGATCCCTATATAGGGATGGCCGGTTAGCTCACTTGGGAGAGCATGGTGCTGACAACACCAAGTCAAGGGTTAAGATCCCCTTACCGGTCATCTTTTTTAAAAAAAGAAAAATCACAAACGTTTGACATTCAAAATTGTGTTTAACAAAAGCTATCACTCTGAGTTCAGCAGAAACTGCTGACCACCAGTGTAGACACAAATTCAACCTCACTTTTTTCATAGTACAACTAAAACGAAACATATAACACATTATTAAAAATAATTCATATACCTGATTTCTTTGGAAACAGAAATTACAGGCCCAGAGTTTTGCTCGATAATCAACCTGACTGTGAGAAAAATAAATATTACAACTAGGTCTCGTTTTTATTTTTAAGGTAGAGAATGTTCAAATAGAAATTTCAAGTTCAGTAAATCACTCAGAAATGTGTTTTTCATGCATGTGCATAAATAGATAGAGGCATGCAAAACATTCACTGCAGTTAGAATTCTGGCTACTAAGTAACCAAAATTTCCTTCAAATAGCTGCAGTGAAGAATTAGTAAATCCTTTTTTCTCTTTTCCAATTCTATCGATAATTTTTAAAATTCCATAATTTATACAAATTATAGGTTATTTTCTTTTACCATTTATCTTAACCTATGATTTTTCCTAACCTTTCTACTATTCAGTTCTGTGAAACTACCAAATTTCAATACTAAAAACTTCACACCTGGTAATAACATCTTAGACTTTAACCTCACTTAGCCCACTTGAAAAAAAGTTGGGCAGGCGTGCTTCTGTGTTGATACACTTCCTAAAATTGGTTCAAGATCATGCTTCAGTTGCTTCCCCCTCCCCCCTTTCTATGTTTAGAAAATTAATAATCAGTGACTATCATTTTAAAAGCAGAGCAACAGCATTCTTATATATGAACACATTAAAGCAAGGAGAATGAAGTGAAAAATGTTCCCTCATATAAAAATTCTGACACTCTCCACATATTTAAAAATTCTTTCAAATAGTGCCGACACCTAAAATAAATATCATAGATCACTACCCCAGGCACAAAAGACTACACTTAACAATAAAATCATTTAAGAGCTACAATTTCTTCCGCCTACTACTTCTTCCTGCTATACAGCATCACTATTAACAGTGAGTAGGAGAAAACCATCTAAAGCTTTTAAATTTGGGGAGAAGATACTTTAAAAGGCATCAATGAAGTCTACAATTAAGCCAAAAGCAAATTGATAATCAGCAGAAAAAGTAAATTCCAAATACTCTCCCTCTACCTCATTCCCATAAGATTCCAATTTTATCTGGAGTATTTGGCCAGGGAGATTCCTTCAAATACCATTTAACACCTAAGAATCTCACTGCTTAGTACTCATCTCAAATTTGATGACTTGCCCAAATCAAATGACTTTTATGAGAATAACATATAAGTGATAATTTATTTTCATAATCTTTACCAGTTTTTAAAAGAACTCATACCAAAGTGGATTGAGAACAGCTTTGCAAGTTGGCCTGCTGCAAAGCACAGGTTCATACTGCACAGGAGGTAGGTCTGGACGTCCTTTCAAAGGAGTAAGGAGACAAGCCAGGGGAACAACCATTCTCGTAGCCTCCAGACGGCTGGAAGGCCACACATTCCAACTAAAACGCACACCATCCCGTTCTTCATTTTGCTGAATGAATTCCTGATATGTCGCCATAGTCTAAAAGAGAACTGAAGATAAAGCTTTAATTGCATGTGAAATTTTCAACTAAACTTCAAAAGAAGACAGTTATCTAACAGAGTATTTCCAAAACACTCACTCTGGAAGATCCTGTCCCTGTAGAACGACAGTATCTCCCCTCTAACCCACAAAAGTCAATTAACTGCACAGTTATCTTCGAGTACTGCTCCTTTCTCAACCTTCCTCTCTAGCACTTAAATAAATAAAAGAGAGGGAAGGGTTACAATCATTTGATCATCTCTAAGCTGCGTGTGGTTGACTACTACTACTTTAAATCTCTTCACAGATCACACATCATCTCAGCCAAGCCAATTTCTGCCCCGTGTCCAAGGATAAGTCTCAAATCCTGCTTCAGCATCCAACTGCCTTCCTCTCAGATCCCCTTCCTTCTTTGCTCCATTAAGGTAAATACTATATTAAATTTTACATTCCAAGTGATCTTGTTTTTGTGCCTTTTCCCCTCTCCATTTTATTAACTGTAGAGAAAAGAACTGGATACTGATGTGCGAGTCCAGTTCATAAAGGGAACCAGTTCTGAGCTAAATTATTTCTACTTTATACTACCAAAATTACAAAGGAAAGTTTGCTATCACGCTTAGTCTCTCCAGGACCTCTTTCCTTGTCATGGTTGTTTATGCTCATGCCTTGAAAGACTCTGGTCAATAAAACAGTCCTTCAGACTAAGCTTTCAAACCCAAATAACCTCAACTTCATTGAATATTTTATACATCCTGTTCACATCCTAAAATCTAGGATAACACATGCCTCAGCTATTGGGGTTCAAAGAAACAAGTCCCTCAAGAAAAGTAGGAAAAAAAGCAAATTAAAGAATCTATGATAATGAAGTGACCTCTAGTGCCCATTTCACACAGTGCTGGATAATAACTGTCTTCCACATTATTGTGAGAAATACCATAATGTAAATAACTTGGATTAAGGCAATAATATCACCTGGCTAGAAAAGTAAATGAATTACTCTACAAGGCAGAATCCAAACAACAAAAGTTCCTAATGTTTGCTCGAACTGAAACTCTAAGACATCTATTTGTTATTTCTGGCAAAAGCAGGAACTTGAAGCACTGTGTACACAGGAGGCACTTCTGCAGCTTCCTGGGAGACAAAGAGATAATTCAGATGGGAATAACGGCAAGTTCTAACATCACGATTCCCAGCAAATACTTCAGCAGGTTTCAGTAAATGACAGTTCCCCTCTCAAAACAGTTATTTATTAAAAGGTTCCATCTAATGTCCCTAAGCATCTACATATTAAACCTCCTCCCTCCACGTCCCACTGCCTCTCTCCCTCATCCCTCGAGAGCAGGGATTCTTAACCCTGGACACATAATACACAGGAGACTTCAGAGGGTCCACGAATCCCCTGAAGTTGTACGCAAAATTGTGTGCATAAGCGAATACGTATTTTTCTAGGAAGATGAGTTCACGGCTGACACCAAATTCTCAAAGGGGAAGGGTATCTGAAAGGTTAACAGCCGAACGAATGAATCAGTGAATGAATGAAAGGCCTGAAAAAATACTGTAGGAGTATCCGCAAAAAAATCGGAACCATCCTTATCTCGACAAGATATAACTTTTCGGGACGTAGGGACCATCAAGTAGACAAGGTTAAGCAAGGTTTAATCCCCGAAGGGTGTCCAAAGACCTGGTTCTGGTTCCAGCTGTCACGAAACAAAAGTCATTTAACCTGACTTGAGTTTCTCATCTCTAAAATGGGGGTACATTCAGAACGTAAAGTTCAAAGAGAAATAAGATAATAAAATGGGAGTTGGATCCTTTCCCCTTTGCGCACTCCGCGATTCTGAGGGATCCGGGGCCAGAAACCGGTCCTCTGTGCGCCCCGCGCGGGAGGCGACCATTCCCTCCTGTTCCCCTGCCTGCCAGGAAGAGGCCTCACTCCGGGAGCCGCCTCGCCCGCCGCAGAAACTCGTGCGCGGACCCCCGGTCTCCCGTCGCCTACGCCTCGCACTCACCTGGCTAGAGCAGTCCGCACCCACAGTCCCAAGAACCAAGCTCCGGCTCCCACAGCCAAGTCCAGCTCAGCTCTCAACCGATTGGTCAGCGCCACAGCGCATCACGCCACGGCGCCGTCCGATGGCCAATCACAGAGCTTCTCTAGCGGACGAACGGAAGCGTGACCCTCAGAGAAGCCCCGCCGCCATCTTGGGATAGGATGTGCCTCGCACTACAAAGTCACGTTTCCTCCCAACACCAATTTCCCCGAGTTCACCCCTAAACGTTTCCGCTTCAGAAAATCCGGGAGCCTGCCCGACTGTTCTCTAGGCACAGTCAGCACTCCTCAGCGGTTCGCCCTGATCCACTATGACGTCCGCTCACCTCAGTGGGAAGTCCCTCTCATCGCCTTGGTTACAGGGAAGCAAGAACGATGACGTATAGCCCCGGAGAAAGGAGCGGCTCCGGCGAGAGGAAACTGAAAGGCCCGGAGGAAGGCGTCAGCATGAGGGGAGGGGCGGGAGACGAGCGTCGGTCGCACGGGCACAGGCTTGCGGAGGGGGCCGGTCTCTTCCTCTAGCGGAGATGCGTCTTCGTTTTGCAAGTTTCCTTCTCTCGCTTGCTGTAATGACTTGGTGCTGTCCGCTGAGAGTGGCACTGGTGCACCGTCCCCCTCTGCGTGTCCGTTCCTGTCGTCCTTCTACAAGGAGATGTGTAATTGAGAACTGTCATATGCAAGCATTTTAGGACACTAACAAAGGTCATAACTACATATAACACAACTTTCTGCAGCCACCACAACCGTTTTATATTTTCTTACAAGTGGCAAATATGAGCACGTTCATTAACCTGACTCAGAGATATAGTCTTTCCGTAGCATGTAAAAATCAGCGAAACTGTATAAACTTAAAATTACAAGTAGCCATTAATTAAGCTCAATGTAGGCGGCCGATGGCTCACTTGGGAGAGTGTGATGTTGATAACATCAAGGTCTAAGGGTTCGGATTCCAGTACCATCCAGCTGCCAAAACAAAATTAGCTCAATTTAATATTAGCACAAAGTTTAAATTACCTACAAGTCATAGAAATTAAATCAATGTACTATGAAACATAGTTACTGTGGGTTTTTTCCTTTTTTAAATTTCTTTTATTTGTGATAGTTACTGAGAATATAAAAACTTGTCAGTAGCCTGGCAAAGGCAAGGCGAAGAAATAAAGTTTGTCAGAATAATGATTCACTTCGTTGGACAAATTTACATTTTTCATGACCTTAAACATTATGTAATTTTTTTTTTTTTTTTTTTTTTTTTTTTGGCTGCTGGCCAGAATGGGAATCAGAACATTACCTAATGTTAATGTTAGTTTATTTGATCAGTAAACTTGTATAAGTTTAGGCGACTCAAATTAATTATTCTCTCTATAAAAGAAACAAAACCAAGTAAAATAAAACGTAGCAATGTATTATACCCAACACTGAGAAAAGGCATAGCTGGGGTTTTTTAAAACAAACGTGAGAATAGAATTATTTGCCAAAGATTTGCCTTAATTATTTGAACCTGTATTTTCTCTGTTCTAGCAATGTCTGTGAGAAGGACTTTTTAAAATCTAGCACATTTATAGTACTGTATTAGAAGTTTAATTTCCGGGCCGGCCCGTGGCTCACTTGGGAGAGTGTGGTGCTGATAACACCAAGTCAAGGGTTAAGATCCCCTTACCGGTCATCTTTTAAAATAAAAAAAAAAAAAAAAAAAGTTTAATTTCCTTATTTTCTAGGAATTTTAGGAATCCTTGACTTATATGTGTGTATTTATTTCCATAAACTAATTATGAGAGCTCCTGTAAGAAATGTAATAATCTAACTTACTAAGACTCTACAAAGGTAGTAAAACCTTTTTCACCCTTACAAGAGGTGAAGGCTTTTCTTGATTACAGCCATGAAGACATATGGAAAGTTTACAGTTTTGGTTCTATGACTTCAGCCACAGGTCAAAACTAAACACAGAAAAATAAAAATTTAGTGGACCAGATAACAAAGAGTTATTCTCCTTCCCAGAGGGTGTGGACATCTTACCTGATTTTGATATAGGAGGTGCTCAGTTTCCCTGGCCTCAGGTTTCAGTACACACCTCTGGGTTTCAAGCCACTCCCGAGGTCTCAGGCCCTTCCTTTAGGTCCTCCTCTAGAGGACAGCTACTATTACCAGTTAGACCTATTTTCAGCACCAACATGGGAAAATGAGACCACAAAGGGCTGGTTTCTGCAAATCCAGTGGCTGGGCTTGCTCAGTAGAGAGGGGTCGCATAACTCTGGTAGCTGAATGACCCTCCAGTAGAGGTACTAGAGAGCACATAATAGTCTCCAACATGCCTGGTGCATGTGATAGGATTTGACCAATGAATATGCTCCAAGAAGAGACCAACTGACTATGTGCAAGACTATGTTCCATAACTAAGAACCACCCCCTTGAATTAAATATTCATTAGGTAGCAAAACTATAAAAGCTGAATCCCAGCAGAAGGCAGGGTTGTTGCTCACTGTCCTGGAGGCTACCTGTACTCTGCTGGCTGAGGTGTGCATACTTTCTATCAAACTTACTTAAAGGAAGCAACTGCTCACTGTCTTGAGGCAGCTTGCATTTTGTACTGAACTTTCAGTATGTATTTCTTACTTTTGTATTAAACTTGGTCTGGGCCTTGCTCAGTCTCTGGAGCTAGACCACACTCTCTCTGTGGAACCTGTATTTCTTATCTATTACATTAAACTTGTTTTCAGTTTCTACTGTGACTCTGCCCTTGAATTCTTTCCTGTGGTGGAGTCAAAAACCTGGTAAGAGGACAGGGTGGGTTAAGGCCAACTATTGAGCCCCCCATACCCTGTGACATCAGTTTGAACTCACAAATAGACAAAAAGGTAAACAAACAAGAAAGACTAACAAACAGATTCTCTGTCATATCTTATCCAGGAGAGACTAGATCTCTATTGTTAAATAAAAATTAGAGGAGGCTACTGTTTTGGGCTGAGTTCCTGCACTAGATCCCAACAGATCAGACTAAAACTCAAAATGGAGTCACCGCTACTGAGTTCCAAACACTTAGCTTATAGTTTAAATCTTCAAGTGTTATGATAATGAAATTCCCTCCTCTTGAATCCTTACGCAAAAGAGATAGCGGAAGTAACCTAATGCTTACTAGTCAGTTATTTTTCTATTGTTGTGTCT